AAAAAAAAAGGCGTGGGAAACCTAGTTGTAGTGTATTCTGTACAAAGCCCAGCAACTGTCTCCTAATCCCCTCCTCTTAACCCCTCCCCCACCCCGCACCGATGACAGCTCTCCCCCATATTCAAATGATAACTGGAGCCACGTCCAGGCGGGAGTCTCGACCGCCATGGCAGGGAGATGGCGCATGGACGCGGGTAAATGTCATAGGATAATCACCGGCGTGGAGCCCTTCTCTCTGGCTCCAGATCCAGCCGGAAGAAGGTCCTGCTACTAGAGGCGCCCGCAATGACAGTCGGTCGCACAGAACACCGCGCGTTGCCGGCAGCTATCCCATCCCATCCCCGGGAGAGAAACAGACAGACACATACACCGTCTTGCTTGTAGTCTCAAGCCAACTTCCGACGTATTCCCCATTGTAATCGCGTCCACATCTCCTCTCTCACCCCGCCCAATCGTGATCTGTCACGCTGTCCTGCGGGACTGGCCCGCAGTCATAGCTATATAATCCATTGCGCGCCGACCCACGATACCCGGGGAGCCTGTTCGCTGTCCTCTGTCACCATCCCACGTCTCGGTCCTTCCCTGTTCGCTTCTGTGCTTCTCCAAAGATACCCCTAGACATTCTGTTTAGGTTGTAGCTTCTGTTACGATCGCTGTGACGACCCTCTCCGTCTCTCTTCCTCTTGGTGAAACCGACCTCTCAAAGACCGACCGCCCCTCACCAAACTCCCCCCTCCACCTCCCCCGCACAACCCGACAACCCGACAACCCATCCATCATGGCCGGCATTGAAGGCAAAAGCGTGAGCTTCAACCTCCTCGACGACGGGCTACCCACCCCGCGCGTTAGGGGACCCCCCGTCGGAAACACGGCGCTGACGAGTCGCAGAACCTCTCCTTTATCCTCAACAAGCCCCACGACGTCGAGTTCGCCGAGCGACCCGTCCCCAAGCTCTCCGACCCCCACGATGTCCTCGTCGCCGTCAACTACACGGGAATCTGCGGCTCCGACGTGCACTACTGGGAGCACGGCGCCATCGGCCACTTCGTCGTAAAGGACCCCATGGTCCTCGGCCACGAGTCGGCCGGCACCGTCGTCCAGGTCGGCGAGAACGTCAAGACTCTCAAGGTCGGTGACCGAATCGCCCTCGAGCCCGGCTACCCGTGTCGCCGCTGCGGCGACTGCCTGGCCGGCACCTACAACCTCTGCCACGAGATGCGGTTCGCCGCCACCCCGCCGTACGACGGCACCCTGGCCGGCTTCTGGGTCGCCCCCTCCGACTTCTGCTACAAGCTGCCCGACAACGTCTCCCTGCAGGAGGGCGCCCTGATCGAGCCCCTGGCCGTCGCCGTCCACATCACCAAGCAGGCCCGCGTTCGTCCGGGCGCCTCCGTCGTCGTCATGGGCGCCGGCCCCGTCGGCCTCCTCTGCGCCGCCGTCGCGCGGTCCTTTGGCGCCACAAAGGTCGTCAGCGTCGACATTGTCCAGTCCAAGCTCGACTTCGCGCGGGGTCTGGCCTCGACCCACACCTACCTCTCGCAGCGCATCCCGGCCGAGGACAACGCCAAGGCCATCATCGAGCAGTGCGACCTCGGCGCCGGCGCCGACGTGGTCATCGACGCCAGCGGCGCCGAGCCCTCGATCCAGACGAGCCTGCACGTCGTCCGCATGGGCGGCACCTACGTCCAGGGCGGCATGGGCAAGGCCGACATCAACTTCCCCATCATGGCCCTGTGCCTGAAGGAGGTCACGGCCCGCGGCAGCTTCCGCTACGGCCCGGGCGACTACAAGCTCGCCATCGACCTCGTCGCCAACGGCAGCGTCAACGTCAAGAAGCTCGTCACCGGCATCGTCGAGTTCAGGCAGGCCGAGGAGGCCTTCAAGAAGGTCAAGGAGGGCCAGGTCATCAAGATCCTCATCGCCGGCCCCAATGAAAAGGTCGACGGCAGCTTCAGCACCGAGGTCGACCCCGCCAAGGCGGCCGAGGGCGGCAGCCAGGGCGGATGCTGCTAGAGGACCGGTCTCCCGGCGGCCCAATAGCAGGTAAAAGACAGAGAGGCACAAGACAACAGAGATGACTAGCGAAGCGGGTGGTGATGGAAAAGTGGGCGTCCGGGCGGGTTTCGCAGTGTATTTTTCGTGACGCATGCAGCATAGCATGTATGGTTTTTATGACATTCAGGTGGCATGTATATATGGGTTCACGATCGACAATGATCCAGATAATTGTTCCAATCAAGCTGTTTGCCTGTCCTCTCGGCCGTCACTTTTGCTGGTCCCGGCCACGGAGGGAGGACGTAGGCATCGAGATAGGCGGTTCATCGCCGTTGATCAGACCCAAGCCACGCAAATTCTCAACCCTAGTCTAGCATCTCCGCGCGGGTCTTTCGCGTCATGCGACATTCACGCCCGTGCAGAGTCGGCGTCGGCTCCTGAAACGTAACACAAGGCAATGATCGCCGGTCGACACAGGCAGAGCACTTTGCCAAGCCATGAATGGGGTCGTAGATATCGATCGTATGTGCGTGTCTGTATATTTAACTGTCTACGGATACCCTCACTGAGACCGTGACTCACTGGCAGGGCAGGGGTCTCTTCCTATCTCCGCGACTCGCCAACCTTATTCCCTCCCCCCCCCCCCCCCCCAATTACACTACTTGATAGGGGACCTACTATGTATCCGTAGGCAGCCATCAAATACGGCCAACAAATACCTAGATGAGGACTCTGCCCTGCGCAAAACTCCACATATTCCCGTTCAGCTGAAGACGCCACGAAGCCACGGAGCTGCACTAGTGAACTTGAGCGTCCACTGCAGGGTCCCGAACCGGCCTAGCCCGGACGCCTCCGGGACCCACACCTCGCCCGTTCCGCCCTTTAACCCATGTCAGCGCGGAATCTTAATTCTCTCGGCCTGGCCTCCGGGTATCGGATTGGACAGTCAATCCTCAGACATCGACTCACACACATACATGCAAGAGGGCCCAGTCACAACAACAACAACAACATAAACGCTCATGTCGTGACTTCTTTATTACATGCCATCTTGCCGGGCGCGTACCTTTTCCAGTCGGCCCGCACCTACAAGCCCCTATGTACCAGACAGACAGAGAGCCATGTCTATCTTGCAGACGAGCTGAGCCTGCCCTCGCACTCTACAATCCCTGCCCCGGAGTCTGCCTCACGGCCGCTTCAGGCTTGGGCCTTAGTAGCTCAGCGATTTGCAGCAGGCAGCTGGGCGTTTTCTTCTCACCCCCGTCCATCACTATCCCCTTAGCGGAACGAGCCTCGAAAAAGCCTGCCCTTGCGGATGCAGGCTACCTAATGGCGCCCGGGAGCCTCATGCAAGCTTCGTGGGGCTGGCGCGCGTCACAAAGTAGTAGCAGCGAGTAAAACAATAACATAAAAAATAAAAAAACAAGACCTCTGTGGCGTGTCACCGGCGTCTCCTCTCAGGCACACGAGGCATGGCTGACAAACGAACAAGAAATGGAGGCGGGGAGGCATGGAACGAAATGGCTTGCCCATCCCCTGGCTAGAGGCAGGATAGGAGAGGCATAATTGGGGGGGTAACGATGTCGGCGGCTGGTCCTATCCCCCTCCTCTTCCATACCCTCGCGTCCCCTCCCTTGACTCGTCTATGCCACATCGTATGAAGGTCTCAGCCCATAAGTAAACCGATCACCTCGCTCCTCCTTCACGGCATTCTTGTAATCCTCCGTCCTTGGCCGTCACCTCGACCTAATCACTCGTGATATTCCCTTCACTGCACGTCGCGTGTCCATCGCGAACGCATAGGCCGTCGGTCACTTCGACGCCTGTTTCCTCCTGCTTCAACCCCATCTCGAGCGCTGCTTATCGACTACCACAGCACCCTCCCCTTTCCCCTTCTTACTGCCCAGGCGCAGACATCATGAACAACATGCAGCAACAGCCTCCGATGCAGGCGCAGCCGCAAGTCCAGGCTCAACCCCAGGTCCAGCCTCACCAGCAGCAGTATACGCCCCATGCCTCCACCAGCACGCCGCCTCCCATGATCGTGACGCCGGCCTGGATGGCCGCAATCCGCGGCGTCCAGTTCTTCCTCGCCATCGTCATCCTCGGCCTCTCGGCCGCAATCATCCACTGGGTCTACATGGACGAGCTCGGCCTCGCCGTCGCAATTGTATGTCCCGAGTTCAACGGCAGATCTTCGTCCATTCCCTTGCCCGCAGCAACACATTCTTCCAACCAAAGAAACCACCAAACCTCCCCCACTCAACACCACGAGACACATCTTGAGCCGTCACTAACACAGCCCGCAGTCCCTCTTCACCTGGATCATCGTCCTCTACGCCGTCCTGACCGAGAAGGTCCCCTCCGCCCGCAGCCTCTACCACACCTACGCCGTCCTCGCCCTCGACCTCTTCCTCGTCATCCTCTGGCTCGCGACCATGGGCGCCAGCGCCGCCCGCCGCGCCACCTTTGTCGTGCCCGTCACGGCATCGTGCTCCTCGGACGGCTCGGCCGTCAACTCGGGCCGCTGCACCATCTTCAAGCGCTACATCGTCATGAGCCAGGGCGCCCTCGCCATGCTCGCCGCCGTCGCCGGCCTTTCGGCCCTGCAGTTCATCTTGTTCCTCGTCACCTTCATCTGGACCCTCGTCCAGTTCGTCCGGTGGCGCAAGCTCAACGCCCCCGCCGCCAACGCCAACGCCAGCCAGGGGGAGATCCAGATGGAGCCCAAGCAGCCCTTCGTCACGCAGCAGACGGCGTACCAGCAGCAGCCGCAACAACAACAACAACAACAACAACAACAGCAGCAGCAGCAGTTCTATCCTCAGCAGCACCCCCAACAGACGACCTCGCCTGCCCCTACCTACGTCCAGCAGCAGCCCCCCCAGCAATATCAAGAGATGCCCGGCCAGCAGCAGCAGTACCCCCAGCAGACAACATCACCGGCCCCGACTTACGTCCAGCAGCAGCCGCAGGAGTACCAGCAGTACCAGCAACAGCAGTACCCAGGCCAGCCCTACGCCCCCTCGCCGAGCAGCTCGCCGGCGCCGGTTCAGGGGCAGACGCATGGTTACCCCCCGCAAGAGCTCCGGTGAGCGCGGCCAAGTAGTGGAGGCTGATGAAGAAGGACCGACGAGAGAGGGTGTATTGCGTTGGGTGAACTTGGGGGGGGGGGGGGGGGGTTCTAATGTGTAATATGAATCAAAGCCTTCTTTTTCCCCCCGAACGACTCACTTATTGCTTTGTTCTTTGGAGGGGCTTTACCCGTTGGGATGACGAAAGAACCCCCCCCCCCCCCCCCCCCCCCCCAGGAGAGGATTGGGGTTGTGCTTTTTGGTTTCCCAGGCTTGAATGATACCTACTCATTTTCATTTTTTCCAAGAAAGCTAATCAAGATCAATTTGTGAGATCCAACCTGTTCTGCAAATCAGAATGATCACGTTACCGGGATATCATCAACAGAGTAAAACAATACCATTGTTGTCTCCTGCTGCTACGATGAGTGCTACTGGCTGATTGATATCCGCACTTGGGCGAGGAGGAGAGGCATGCATTGGCTATTATTCCCATCACTTTTCGACACAGCGACTGCTCCTTTCTCCGACATGTTTTCCCCCTCTTAAACTTCAATACATTTCAATACCAAGCTGGGCCATCAGTTCAGCATACCGAGGTACCTCGTCTCGATCTTGGTCTCCTTGCTCGCCCCCCTGACCCCGATTCTGACGACCTCCCCCGGGACGATGTCGACGAGGTTGTCGCTGAAGACCACATCGTCACTTTCCACCTCCAGCGCGACGCCCTTGACGGGCACCTCGGCGCTGACCTCGACCGCGCCGCCGCCGTCGGCCAACTCCGCCTTCAGGCTCTTGGGCTTCTGCAGGTGCAGATACTTGAGCGGCTCGGGCCAGTTGACGTACCTCGCGATTTGCTCACCGTCCCGCACGAGGTACGCCGCCACGACCGTCCGCCCCTCGTCGCCCGCTCGCCTCACGGGCACCTCGAACGCCGCCATCTCGGTGGACCTGTTCTCCGGCAGGACGAAGCCCCTGTCGACGGTCTCGTTGTACGTCTCCTCGCCCGTCTCGACATCCCACGCCTTGACGACCAGATCGACGGTTAGGTTCTCGAGCTGCAGGTTCGAACCCCAGATCTCGACGCGCGTCTTGGTGTCGATGTCGACGCGCGTGTACTTGTCGCGCGGGTGCTTGTGCTCCGTCCGCGTGATGCCAATCGAGATGGGCGCCATCTCGCGCTTGACGGTGTAGTAAGCGTGCTTGGGGCGGAGGTAGTAGTCGCAAATGGCCCACGACGTAACGGGCCAGCAGTCGTTGATCTGCCACACAAGCGCGCCGCCGCAGTACTCCCTGCCGGGGCCCTTCCACTGGCGCTTCCACAGGCGGTACGCCGACGCAAGGCACTCGGCCTGCATGAGCTGGGTGCAGTACACAAAGTGCTCCAGCGGGTCCGGGGCGTAGCGGAAGTTCTCGACGAGGTACAGGGCGATGCGGCGCTCGTGGCCGTCGGCCTTGTTGTGGAAGTCGACGGTCGAGGACTGCGGGTAGCGGTCGGGGTCGTCCTTACCCTTGGGCAGGTATGCGTCGATGGTCTTGACCGAGGGAAAGGCCTCCATGCCGAACTCGGATACGAAGCGACCGACGAGCTTGTCAAAGTTTTGGTACTTTTCCTGGCTGCCGTGCCAAACGTTCCACTGGTGCAGGTCGCCGACGGTCGGGTCCCTCGTGTCCTCGCCGCTCCAGGGGCTGCCAAAGTGGTAAAAGGTGTCGGGGATCAGGTCCTTGCACGCGTCGGCGAGGACCTTTTCGTAAATGTACCGCGCGGGGAAGTCCGTCTTGAGCCAGCTCTCGGCGTCCTTGTTGGCGAGGTCGTACGTCAGGTTCTCGCTCTCGGCGTACTGGTAGTCCTCGTTGTTGCCGGCCCAGATGACGATGGACGGGTGATGGCGCAGCATCTTGAGGTTCTCCCTTGCCTCCCGGTCGATGGACTGCAGGAGCTCCGGCCAGGCGGGGTAGTTGCCGCAGCCGAACATGAAGTCCTGCCAGACCAGGATGCCCAACTCGTCGCAGGCATCGTAGAAGGCCGGCTCCTCGTAGATACCGCCGCCCCAGACGCGGACCATGAACTGGTTGCCTTCAGCCAGCAGGCGGATCCAGTCGTAGTACCTCTCCTTGCCGATACGGGGGATGAAGTTGTCGGCGGGAATCCAGTCGCTACCGCCGCAGAAGATGGGGATGTTGTTGACCTGGAAGAAAAAGGATGTGCCCGGCTGCTCCTTGAGGGGGCGCTGCACCAGCTCGACCTTGCGGATGCCAATCTTCTTGGAAAGCGTGTCGATCTCGTCACTGCCACCGAGGAGGGTGGCTGTGACGGTGTACAAGGGCTGCTTGCCGTAGCGGACGGGGTACCACAGAGCAGGGTCTTGGATCTGGAAGGTGGCCGAGGTGCCGGCGTCCGCCTCAGCCTCGACAGTCTCGGAGGCGAGAGATTTGCCGTCGAGGGAGACGTCAAAGCGGACTTTGGTAGCCTTGCCCTCAGTGGTCGCATGGGCGACAACCGTGGCGCTCTTGAGGGAATCGTCGAGGGTGGTTTCGAAGTAGAGGTCAGAGATACGGGACTCGTAGATCTCGAGGTTGATAGGCCTCCAGGGGCCGCAGGTCAGAAGGGTCGGGCCCCAGTCCCAGCCCTGAGAAAGGTCAGCCAATGAAAGCACCATTAGTATCAGAGACTGGGGAGAACGCACCCAGTGATATTGGGCTTTGCGGACAGCCAGTCTCGAGTTGTCGCCGTTCCAGCATCCCCACTTGTGGTCGGGGTGCTTCTCGACCAGCTTCCAGCCGCGCAGGTAAGCACTGTCAAAGGTGATGACGAGCTCGTTGTATCCATCCTTTCTGAGCACGGATGTGACGTCAACTCGCTCTGGGGTAAACATGTTGTCCGTCTCGAGGATGGTCTTTCCATTGAGGACAACGGTAGCAAAGGTGTCGAGGCCCTCGAAGGCCAGCACGGCCCTGGCGCCTGCGGGGACGGCCTCAGCAGCGAAGGCGGTCCTGTACAGCCATTGCCTCTCGCCGACCCATTGGACGTCGAGCTCGTTCTTGCCGATGAAGGGGTCGGGGATGACGTTGTGGTGAATGAGGTCGAGGTGGATGTTGGTCGGGAACTGGCTGACGGCGAGAAGCTCGCTGTCGTCCTTGTCGGCCTGCTTGAACTGCCAGTTCTTGTCGATGGGGATGACGGTCCTGGACGCCATGGTTTGGGGCTGGTGGTGGCGGCTGGGACGAGTGTTAGCAGCGGCACAGGTGCGGATGAGGTCTGGAAGAAGACGCATCGTGGCAGGCGCTTGAATTGGGGTGCGATGGTGTACCGATTGGCGGAGTCGCGGCGTCGAAGACTCACCAGTTGAAGCACAGGTTAATGGCAGGCGCACTAATTACAATGAAGCCCGACGGGGGAGAGAGCGCCGAGCGTCGGTGCCCCGCGGCGGATGGCGGGGTAGATACGGGGTAAGGTGACGGGGGGTCAATTGAGCGGCTGGCTTCCGTATGAACTAATAGATAAAAGATACGGGGTCTTTTGAGCTGGATCTCTATCTGCGTCCAACATAAGCTGAAGTTGGGACAGTGTCTCATCCAAGGTGAGATGAAGAAACATTTGCTCGAGGGGTGGAAGGGCGGCATGTGTCGTCCTTCATATACTCACTCACTCACTCACTCACTCACACTCATGTGTCTCACTTTACTGCTCGTCCTTTTTCTCTCTCCTACAATTTCTATCATTCATGAATGTATGCCGCCATCACCTCCCCTCGCATTACCTCCCTTCACGTCTTGCTCCTGACGCAGGACCAACATGGCAATTCCAGGGGTGAGGAGGCAGCTCCCACTTGGCCCAGTCTGAACGACGGGGCAACATCCGCCGAGATTCATCTACATTCCCTCAACAACCCACGCAGTTTCTCTCTCTCTATCGCACCCCTTTCTAGCCGCATCAAGTTCCGCCCTCGCACACACCATTCCCCCCCCTCTCTGGCCCAAGAGGTACGCGCGCGGAGAATAAGGGGCGTCTCTTTTCTCCAACAGGCACAAAACATCAAAGCAAGGCTTATACGAAGTACACCGTCGTGACCCTTGCTGGATCAAGTCGATGGGCTGCATCCGGAGGAAGACAACGCACATGGCTACCGCCCTGAGGAAGCCTCATCGTGATGCTCCTTTATGCTAGCCACATGACCTAACGCTGGAAGAAGAAGGAGATGATCATGATGAAGATGGCCTGTCTCTCTACTCAGTCTAATCGAAGGGGTCCAGCACAGAGTCAACGGTCCGCCTCCCCTACTGGAGGACCACCATTACCCCAAAAAACTAAGCCCCAGAAAAGAAAAGAAAAAAGAGGCTAATCCCCCGAATTCCTCATCTGCAGCTTTAGTGAAGTATCGTACCAGTGGGGTCCTTTCACGGAGGAAGGCCTTCCGTTTGCCTTTTTGGAACCTCGACTGGAGGGGACGGCTGCATCATCATTCTCCGACCATGTTTCCACGTCCCAGAAGATATAGCCTCATGACGAACCGACGTCCAAGGGAAGAGTGCTCCACATAATACCGTAAATCTTTTGGGTATCATGTTTACCTACCTAGCCAAGGCATGCAGCTGCAGCGCACGTGAACTAGACTCGATATGAGGAGGCCATTTTCTCTCCCACCACGTCCCCCGAGTGGACATGCATTGGGACGGATGCATTACCGCCGAACCGATACGACTTTCGCCAGAACGTCGTGAAAGGCTTAGCTTCGTCTATACATGTGACATTGTATTCATCGACTTGTGCCAGAATCTTGATATAATGAAAGGTCTGTCATTAACATATGTGGCTGTAAGAATGTGTATGTGTACGACCGTCCCCGATGTGGGGGACGAGGTATCTATCCCGAACGCCAGCTTCCATATTTCCTCCGACTTGTGGAGCGAACATGGTCCCTCCATCGTCAGGTAAACCAAATCCAAACAGCATCCCGGCCCCCGCCAGCTTGTATCCCGATCCGGCGATGGGCCTTCCCATGAAAACTCCTTGCAAAACTCCATTCCCCAAGAATAGCATCCTTTGTCTCAAGCCAGCAGATCCTCGCTCTCTCGGAGGAAAACAAAAACAAAAAACAAAGGCTGCCTCCGAGTCTTCTTGTCGTCCTGCTTCTGGTGGTTTCAGCAGCAGTTGTTGCCTCTACGTCGGTTCGTCAACGTGAAAACCTCTTCCCAATCACGCAAACCCCAGTTCGCGCCGCTGCGCGTGTTTCGCCTGCCCTTTCGCCTGCGGAGTCCACCAGCCTCGTCGAGCGTCGCGCCCGTCATGGAGCTCTTGATGCTTGCCACGTCGCTGGCGCCCGCATTCCACCCTCCGCCGTACCCGTCGCCGTACTGAATGCCGCTCATCGGGTCGTCCGGGTCGATGTCGCCCAACTCGATCTTGGTGAGAATCATCCTCGCAAGCCTCGCAAAGATCTCGTCCACATTCTCACCATTGAAGGCGCTCGCCTCCATCACCACGGGGATCCCGACCGTTCCCGCCCATCTGTTTGCGTCCACGTTGCTGACCTCTCGACCCTCTGGCGCCTCGCTGGCTTTCTGTTGCGTGCCGAGGGATGGCACCATGGTACCTCCGGATCCTGCGGAGCCATTCGCAAAGTATGACATGGAACCGACACTGCTCGGCGTTGGCGGGGGTAGGCTCGTGTCGACGAGGAGCTCGGATGCTAGATCAAGCTTGTTTCCCACCAGAAGGCAAGACAAGTTGGGAGATGCCAAGGCGCGGGCGTCATTAAGGAACGGTTGTAGTCCGCGGAAGCTGCTGTGATTCGTGACGTCATAAACGAGAATGGCGCCGGCGGCGCCGCGGTAGTAGGATCGGGAAACGGAGCGGAATCGTTCGGTGCCGGCCGTGTCCCAGAGCTGCCCAACCCAAACATGTCAGTATGGCGGTCTCCTCGGAGGGGAACAACGTGGCAGCCATACCTGTAGCTTGATCCGTTTCCGCCGGGAACCGGTGCCGACCTTGATGATCTTGCTTGCGAACTCGACACCGATGGTTTGGGACGATAAAACTCTCCACTCGTTCTTGACGAAGCGGTGAAGCAAACAGGACCTGTTTCGCAGGGCCGTCGTTAGTTGCTTGCTCTGAGCTAACGTGCACCACGGGAGTCGGTGGCCTCCTGCTCTCATCCGGAACGTCGATGCAACTTACTTTCCCGTGCCGCTCGGCCCCAGCAAGATTATCTTGGCCAGGTAGTCGTACATGCTACCCAGCTCCTGCGCAGCCCGTCAGTAATGTGTTCTTCGTCGTGCGATCGATGTCAGGGGTCTCCTGACCTCGCCGGCGGGTCCGCTGCTGTCCTCGCTCGCGGCACTGGAGCGACGCGGTCTCGTCATCGTGGCTGTATGGAATGTTTGCCGCAGTGCGATATGGTGGTGGTGGTGCGATGCGGTGCGGTACGGTGCGGTGTGCAATCGGAAAAGTCGGGCAACGGCGCGGCAGCGATAAGGACGAGGACGGTAAGGGGATCGATCGTACAGTCGGCTGGTTGATAAGCGGAGATAGCGGAAAGGAATGAAGAACTGGCAGGCGACGTTGAGGTCGCAACGACCAGGAGCAATAAAATAAAATAAAAACAAGCGTACGTTTCGAGTTGAAGCAAGGGCGGTTGACGTGCTGCACGGTTTGAAGAGAGACGGTGGTGGTGGTGTTGTTCTTGGACCTGGGATCTGGGGCCCGACAAGACAACACAATGACGGCAGACCGAGCACCTGGGAAGTTCCTTCCACATGGGATGGACCTGCCTTTTCTCACCGCACCTGCCGCGCCTTGGATACCCTTCGCGGTGGGTCTGAGCGCCACGCTACGGGTACGTACCCCCTGGCTGCGTTTACGTACCTATAAGGTGAGGTAGGTACGGTATCACGAGTACGAATAGGTAGTTACCCGTGACCCGTATCCGTACCTACATACATAGTATATATACCTATCTAGGTAGGTAGACACATTAGGTACTCTACTGCACACTACATTAGGTAACGTACTAATGCACTTGGGCTGCTGGCAAGACAGATACGTACTCGTGCAAGCCCTCCTTATCTTTGTAGCTCGTGGCCGCCGCCAGACGCCTCTTTGAACGGGGAGGCCCAAGCTTCTCTCTCTCTCTCACCTTGAAGGGCTGCTGCTCACCGAGACCGTTGCTGCCGAGGCTTGACATGCATGAGACCGGACCACCGAAGCTCGCAGTGGAGCCCACCCGCTCGCTGTAAGCTCACCTCGACCCGGACTGGCATTTCCATCAACACCCTAACTCCCATTCACATGTGTATTATACTTTTCAACTGCAAACAACTCACATCATAATGAAGATTCAAGGCCGCACATTCATCATTTCCGGTGGGTAAGCAAGACGCCCCCCCCCCCCCCCCCCCTCCCCCTTGCATCTTTGTCCATCCTTGATCACATGCAAATGTCATTGACGCTGACTCTGCGTCCCATGACAGCGCATCAGGCCTGGGACAAGCATGCGTGGAAGAGATATGCAGAAATGGAGGAAACGCCGCTGTTCTTGACATGAACGAAGAGAGCGGCAATGAGATTGTCTCCAAGCTGGGCTCATCGGCCAAGTTCTTTATCTGCGACGTCCTCGACACCAAGAGCATCGAGGCCGCCGTCCAGGGCACCGCTGCCTGGCTGAAGCAGACCGGCAAGCCCCTCGGCGGCGTCATCCCCGCCGCCGGCGTCGGAAACCCTTCTACCGTATGCCACCCGATCCGCGGCGCCCTGCCCGTCTGAGCCTGACAACCCTCGCATCGCAGATCCTAGACCGTAACGGCAACCCCTTCAGCCTCGACGATTGGGACTTTGTGCTCAACATTAACCTCCGCGGCACCATCGACCTCACCCGACAGGCCCTTGCCCTCATGGCGAGGAACGACCCCTCGCCCCCCGACGGCGAACGCGGCGTCGTCGTCATGGTCGCCTCCTCCGCCGCCTTTGACGGCCAAAAGGGTCAGGTCGCCTACGCCGCGAGCAAGGGCGCCGTCGCCGCCATGACCCTGCCCATGACCCGCGACCTCGCCCGCTTCGGCATTCGCGTCGTCACCATTGCCCCGAGCCTGTTCGAGTCCCGCATGACCGCCGTCTTGTCCGACAAGGTCCGCGCCAGCCTCGAGCGCTCCATGGAGTTCCCCGTCCGCGCCGGCAAGCCCGACGAGTTCGCCGCCCTGGTTAGGCACGCCATTGAAAACGTCATGCTCAACGGGACCGTCTTGCGGCTGGACGGCGGCATGAGGATGCCGAGTAAGATGTAGGCCAGTCGTAGTGAGCTTGTCGGCCAAGGTGCGTATTGATAGATGCAAATCTACTTGGGCGCTCTCGCGTCCATAGGATGGAGACACCCGAAGCTTTGCGAAAGTTGATTGTACCAATCTACAACAGTATTGTTCCTCAAACGTTTTCAGCTCGCGTATTTCAGATTCGGCCCTGTAAACCCAAATCATTAACCGGCTGATCTTGTGAGACTTCGCCCGCAACCTTCCCATTCTTTCCACTCTACAAATCATGTAACCGCCTATGTGTTTGTCCTCGACATAGCCTACCAGCGGAGCCACCTATAACTCGTCTCAACTTCGATGACGCTGTCTCCTCAAGCTCGTCTTCTATGGTACTGAGTCTCAAGTCCCGGAATAGGATCGGAATGCTCAAGGCCCGAAGGCACTTGTTGACGCAGGAGAGCGACTGAACGATTCTACGGTTGATCCTCTTGTGATACGTTTTCCAGTGATAGCTCGCGCTCATCTCGTAGCAGGTTTTGATGATTTTGATGACCAGCTCTCTCGGGAGTGTGACCAGGTAGGTGTTCGCGCTGGAAGCGACAGCCTGGGCCGTGGGCTCGTCGCCGAGCGCGAGAACGTCCGAATGGACAGTGTTCATCACGCTGCTGCTGGCGAAGAAGTCGAGGGTAGCTTGCGACAAAAAACTGGTGAAGCAGATGAAGCCGGACGAAGAATTCGGAGAAGAAGCCCTAGAGAGGGAGGGGAAGGGGGTATTTTAAGGTGAGAACTGAGGAATTTCCAAAAAGTGCTGATCAAAAGTCTTTGAAGTTGAAGATGAGGAGAAGCCGGCAAAGAAGAGGAAAAGGAAGGAGCAGACCTCATTTGTACGAAGCTGTCACAACCCGGGTGGATGGTAGTCTGGTAGATTCAATAGTACCATCGTTGCCAGTACGAGAAGTCACTCAAGGCTAAAGCCACAGCCTATTAGCAGCTCTGTTCCAGCATCTAGTACTCAAAGAGTTCAAATTTCATATTCCATTATATCTATGTAAACCATTAGTGGAATCCAGTAAGTTTGAAAGCAAAGAAAGATAATGTTAGGGCTGCAGTACAATTTTTAAAGCTTCGCGTTGTCAACTAGTCAGTACGTTAACGGATATGCCTAACACACCTCACTGACTTGCTTCTGATACAGGTATTCCTTGGTGACAAGTCGGATTTTTTAAATGCAAAATCTAATGCCAAAACTTTGTGCTTATTAGCTAGTTAGGCCTGCCGCTTGAGACCCTTGCACCACGGTGGCTCTGCCTCCTCCATCTGGTCCCTTACTCTCTCCATAGATTGACGCCGTCCCGGGGTTATCCAAGCCCTCATACAACCGGCCAAGCTGTCTCCTGTTCATTAGCAACTTGAGCATCAATCGCACGACCAGCCTTGTTCTTGACAGGCACAAAGCAGTGTGCATTGTAGTACCGATCCATGATGTAGACCACCTCAAGATTCGGCAGAGTGTCAAAGAGCTTATAGGCATCGTCCAACCTCTCACCCCTGCGAGCAGTCCAACCAACTGAACTCTCCAGTTTGTCACGAATCCTGCAGCTTCTGTCAAAGGCCTTGACGTTCCTGGTCCGGTGGTTGTAGAAGCTCTCATTCGAGATGGCGAGGACTTTGAGATTAGTCATCTGTCGAAGCATGATGCCAACACCCTGTGTCACAGACTAGTAAGTAGTTGAAATATTCAGGCTTGCTAGGCTGGCTTGCAAAAAGAAACAAAGAAGAAAACTGCTTACCGAGATTGAACGCAGGTTTCCATGGGTACTTCCAAACCCCATCATGCCACCAATGGTCAGATGCTTGACATTGCGGAAGAGAGTCGGGATACTGGCCAAGTCGGAATAATCCCAGCGAGCCTTCCAAAGCTCCAGATACTCAAGCTCGATATGCTGCGAGATGTACACAACGTCCGGGGTCTGATCGGGAGCCTTGTGAAGCTCCAGGCTGAGGGCGCGCAGGTTAGGGAAGACGTCCGGAATGAACTTGATGTCAGTCTTCATCGGAAAAGTGAGTGCCGTCACGAGAGGGAACTGCATATACTGCTGTTTGAAAGTTCTTCGCAAGGGTCCAATCAGGCTAGCGTTGGCTCTGAAGCGCAAGTCCAGCCGGAGATCCCGCAAGTTGGGTAGGTCGAAGAGCAAGTCGGCAAGTACGGCTGCAGTTCCTCTCTTGCAGTTCTCGCCGTAGCCCAGGAAGACGTTCTGATAGGGTGTGCGAAGGGTTGAAGAACCCTCACTGTAGATACCCAGGACACTGGAACAGGTCAGCAGTATAACCTAAATGTATTGTTAGTGACTGCTCCTGAACGACTTACTACACAGAGTCCAGAATTGTTCTTTTGCCATGAATATTATCCATGTGTCTGAGAAGTTCGTCTTCGGCTGTGGTGAGCTGCATTGTCCGAAACAGACTAGGAATACTAAGGTCCCGCAAAGTTCGGTTGACAAGCGACAGCGGTGAGACTTTGGCATCCGGATCGGCCTCCAGCATCTTTGCAATCTCAATGATGATCTCTCTTGGGAGTTTCACAAGGGGAAAACCACTGGGACTGCCGGTGTCTGGATCGGCGAGGCCAAAAGCCTGGAGTGCCAAGGAAGCCATGTTCTCTGGCCCGTTGCTGTTGTTGTTGTTGTCTAACACCCTTTGTCCGCTCAGCCAGGCCAAGCGAGAGACCTTGTGAGAGTTGGTTGGAATCAAGTGCAGGCTGGGGGACAAGGGTTGACGAAAGGAACAAGAGCAGCCGAAAGAAAGAAATGTGGGCGGAAGAAGAAAGGATTTGTCAAAAGCGAAACAGCGCAGAAGTAACAAATCTAGAGGAAGGAGGGAAACTGCCCAAAAGAGTTGCACCTTCTTCATCCGCGGACCTTTTTTTACTGGCTTGTCTTCACAACTGCGTAGCAGCCTGCAAACACATATCAGTCTGTGTGTACAAGACTGAAGCCTGGCCCTTTGCTCAAGTGAACACAACAAGGCAGAATACCAAAGCTGGAATAATTGCTATTTACTTAAATTGAGGCCACTCTGATAGTGTTGATATATGTATGGGCTCCCACCATGACGTCTGTAAATTCATTAGCCCCTCAACATCAGTGCCCGAGCCTATGACTTTTAAGATTCCATTGCACTCAAAAGCTTTGAATTTCTTCGTCACCGACCTAGTTATATGAAGCATTGCAACTCCAAATCTAAGGAGTAATGTTTGGGTATCAATCATTGACCAGCTGCCACGACCTTGATGGCAGTTTCAACAGTACCATCATCGCCGGTTGTAGCTGATGCCGTCCGACCTACAGGCGTCCACCTATCACATTATTGTCAAGGTTTTTCATGCGTTCAGCCATGATTGAGGTGGATTTTGATTTGGCAGTTGCTGTGTGTTACCTGCTGACATATGGCACAAGTGTTGCGTATCAGGCTATACGGGTGACTGGGCCGGACCTGGTCTAGAATGATTACATTCAATGAATAGATAGTAACCATTGATCAGAGTGAAATCTCTTGAGTTTCCCTCGATTCATTACCGTCTACGAATGAGCATAAACGAACAATGTCAAGATGAAGACTTGGCTCAGTGATATGTCTTCAAACAGAAGCAAGCCCGTTAGGCAGTCGCCAGAAAGGGAAAAGCCACGAGTATGCCAACAACCTTTGCGATGCGGCACGACTGCAACTCGTCTACAGAATGCCGGAGGCCGACCTGTTTCATCGGTCATTAAATCAGCTTCAAACACCACGCAGAGAATTCAAATGTAAGTTTTTTAATGTCCCAAGAATTGCAAATTCAAATCCATATTGTTACTAAATATATAAAACGCTACACTATTACAAAAGATGACGCCGTGGCAATGCTTCCAGAAAACGAGAAACTTCGACAATGAGGTCCCAAACGAACCGAGTTAATGGCTTGCTCGTACGAAATAGCCATGTCTGAACTATGCTCGGAAGACCACAGCAGTATAGCCCTTGACCGGAACTGCCTGTGCTGCAAGCTGACGCGGGGCCGCGATTATAATAGGTGCAGGTGCAGGCACTGGCACGGGTGCAGGCACCGGCACAGGAGCGGGTACAGGTACGGGAGCGGGTACAGGTACGGGAGCGGGTACAGGTACGGGGGCGGGTACCGGCACAGGCTTCGGGACCACCGGCACCGGGACCACCGGCACCGGCGCCACCGGCACCACCGGCACCACCGGCACAGGAGCGGGAACAGGTACGACAGGTACAGGTACGACAGGTACGGGAGTGAGTATAGGCTGAGGTGCCGGCGGGGGGGGTGGTTCCTTCTTCTTGCCCTTCTTTTTTTTCTTGAGTAAGCCTTCTGTTTCAAACTCATCGTATCCAAAGGCGATATCTTCGCTGCTCTCGGCCTTCTCGTTGCCGGTAAGAATCGCGTCGATAGCTAAGTCTGAAACTTCGGTTTCCGCAAGCTCTGATCTTTGTGCATGGTTACTGCTCTTGTATATAGATACAACTCTTGATATTGTTAGTTGAAATGGGATACCAATACGGAATACAGTTACTCACGGGTTTTGTCCAGTGTCTTCATTGGTGGTAGAGACCGGAAGGCCGTGAACACTGATGTGCAGGACCGCCAGAGTGGAGAGAAACCCAATTGGCTTCATCCTCGCCTCCTTCCGGGTTACAAATAAATGTACAAGTAGCTTGGTGGATTATTGACTTGATGAAGAGTCTCTTTGATGGAAATTTTACTTGTTGGTAGATTGGTAGTAGAGAAGGGTGTGCTTCTTGTTGAAAACAAACTAAATGTGATCAAAAACCCGACTGCATTATATAGAGATCTGTTTATACAGCACAATACGAATAAGAGGTGCTTGAGGCTTGAAATTAACGCCAAAGGTTGTTGTCACTAGCCTGGTGACGTTAGAATTGCCGTCCCAACCTACTTCCGAAACCTCGCCGGCTTCCGTACTTGGGGAGCTACTCGTGGTCAGGACCAAGGGCTCGATGTGCAGGGCTTACAGGCCGGGGCAAGCAAGCCCTACTCGGCACTGGCCGTGCGACTACACGTCCGCGTGTCCCCCTGTTTTATAGATGAACTTTATGGAACGACCAATATCAATATTTGTCGGTTATTTGGTGATGATCCACCTCCTTTAGCCATTATGACGACCTTGCCCTCGTAGTCTGGGCCCCGGCAGCCTAACTGAGGCATATTTGAAATGCCCCGTGCACCAGGCCAGGTTCCAGTCTGATGAGTGTCGCCTTTGCCGTAGGAGTGGTAGAAAGTGGTCTTGTCGGCATCGAAATGGCACAGACTATAGATTTAACCGGCCCACGTGCCTTAGAATGCGGTCTGTCCACGGGGTATGCGTATCATTGTGGGAGCCAGCCTCAATATTGAATCGCCTTCTTGGCAGTCAGACCAGGTTTGAAACTTTGTTTATGAATGGCATTTCTGTCTTTTCCAGAAAAGCCTTCAATCACCATCATCGGCAATAGCATGAGAGTCCCTGCTGATCTAGTAGTAATTGACACGCCTATGAAACTATTGTGATTGCTACTGACATTCGACTCCCTTGTGGGAGTTCCCCAGGCCGGTGAGTGCATGCCACCACAGTCCGCATCGGGCTTCCAACCTAATAAAAGCAGCATTATTCCCCTTCTCGGCCGTCTGATACTTTAGGCCAGCGAGCAACGATGCTCGACTTCTATGATGTATTTGCTGGAAGCCGACCCTTCACATCATCTATAAGCACTTCCGCTGAAAAGTGACATCACAACACTCGCAGCCGCCGTCCAAACGCCACTTCGCCGCAGCCAGGGACGAAAGAACAGAAAATCGAGATGAAAGACTTCGTCATCGAGTATTTCTCTTATGACAGCATATTGCGCCCAGTGTTACCCACAAGTCTTTTTTGAAAATAACGATGTGATTTACAGCCTAATAGATGTTCTGGTGTCGCACACAGAGAACAACATTATGGAGCATTCTTGAAGTACTCTTCAAGCATATTCCCAGATATAATGAAAACGACAAACTATTTGAAACTCCATAGTACTACATTCCTTGCGACTCGCGCCAAAAAACTGGCACACGTATAGTCCCGACCGTGCCATTGATATTCGCCGTACACTCAACACTCGATTGAAAGTATGTTAGCCTTGTGAAGTCGGAGCTCCGCCCTGTATCCATTCGGTTTTAAGGTTCATCTGAACTCTGTCTACTATCCTATCGAGTACAATTACCGGCATACCGTTTCAGCTACCTGCTTGTAGCACCGGTGGGTTGGATGCAGATTTTTGACAGGGGATTTTGTAACGGGAATTAAGCTTCAAGCCTGATGTTTTCTAACAGTTCGCCGCACCCGGTGTGCCTTGCGACCACAGCAGAGACTTTACGTCACCCGAATCAAGGTTGGAGTTGCGAACTGGTACTGTACAGGCCCAGAAAGATCTCTCGTTGCGCTTGAGTATTCTGAGACGATAACACATCCCTTTTGAATGAAAACAAAATGGCTACATTGTAGACGGTAAGAGTTTCAAAAGATATATTTCTACCAATCAATATTTGCACTTTTTCCAGCTGACAATTGGCACAGTGGCAAGAAAGCGATGCTCACCATGGGATAGCGAGGTGGGCGGATTAGGGGATTGTTGTGTTGAGTCCCACGCACTAGATGACAAGCGTGTTCTAATCAGATTCTCACCAAGATATAAGAGGAGATGGTTTCTCAGCATGATCAGAGTGGTTACGAGCTGATCAGTAAATAGGCATTTTGCAAAGCTGTTTTCCTATTCTCCATTCAGGAATGATTATGCTGGTATAAAGCGTTTCACAATGTAAATCGTAGTAAAAGCTTAGGGAAGCTTGGGTTTAGCATGGAGTATGAATACAAGCTCTCTAATAGGTGGAAAGTGACTAGCATAATAGCTTCCAAAGAAGAGCGGAAATATGCTTAGGAAATGAGAATAAACAATCTGTGCTGAACCGATTGACCTGGTGATATCAAAAGCTACACAGTCCCTGCAATCTGTAAAGAATCAAAAGACGGAAAATCGATCAAAATGAAGAAAGAACAGCACATGGGCTGACCGTCATAATAAAATACAGCCAGTCAACAGGCGTCAGTAAGCAAGAACGAAGTAAACAGATAGGGGGAAAAGGAAGGGTAGGGGAAATAGCAGCGGATTCACGCTCTTCGACGGTTCGTTGCAGGTGTCGATGGGTATGCTGGTAACTGATCACATCCTCTATTCGTACATCTGTAAAGACATCTTGGGCCCGCAAAGAGCAACATCACGATGACCTACCCGGGACTAGATTTTTGTTATACCTACCTATGACAGTAGTTCATGACGACTATAGGTAACAGGCTAACAGCAAACTCTGGCTATTGTCGACGCTATCTACGCCAGTACATTGACGAGAACATCCCCCAACTGCCATCTTTTGATGTTGTCCACTTGCTGCTCGTACCACGCACTCAACGCCTTCTCCTCAACATAGCCCATGTGAGGCGTTAGCAGTACTCTGCTGCGTCCGTCTTGTCCCCAGTTCACCGTGCGCCACTCGCTGTCCAAAGGCAGCGGCTCGAGGTCGAAGACATCCAGAGCACAGCCCCGAATGCCACCTCTCTTCAGCACATCCAACAGGTCCTTCTCGACCACAATCGGCCCACGAGACGTGTTGACGAAAAACGCAGACTTCTTCATCCTGGAAAAGTCTTGGGCGCCGATGAGCCCCCGGGAGCGGTCGGAGAGTACCAGGTGAACACTGAGGACGTCGGCAGTACTGAAGAGCTGGTCTCGACTGACGACCTTGAAGGTCTTCTCCCCACCAGGCCCCTCGACGGGCAGGCCCTCGGCCTCTGCCTTCTCATCGGCAGCTTCCTGCGTCAGGTTCGGGCTCCAGGCAACGATTTTCATGCCGAATGCCAAGTACATGATCTTAGCCGTCGAGACGCCGAGGCGCCCCAGCCCCACGACGCCGAGCGTCTTGGCTGTTAGGCCGGTGGCGGGTTCGGTCTGCCACAGGCCCGACTTGACGGCCAGGTCATCACGGGCGATGTTACGCGCCAGAGAGAGGATGAGTGTGACACAGTGCTCAGTCGTGCTGTTTGTGCCAGCCTGTTTGCCAGTGGACTTTTCCGCAGTGCCAGCAACGGGGATGCCGCGCTCCTCGAAGGCGGGGAGGTCGAGGCTGTTGTTACGCAAGCCGGTTGTGAGAAGAAGTTTGAGATTGGGCAGCCTCGCGATGAGTTCTTTGGGGAATGGGGTACGTTCCCTCATAGTACCTTGTGCTACATGTTAGTCTATATGCCCTTTCTCTTGCTGTACAACAAATGCAGACGGTGCACTGAAATGGTGATTGGATGCAACGAGACCAAATAACATGAGAAGGGGTGAGATTACAGATTACGTCGAAAGGCTCTAGCCTCGAGACCAAGGCATCCCTGACATGCCCAGGGGTTCCGGGGTGGTTGTAGGGCAGTAAGGTGTCCTTGAAGAAGGTGACATCGAAGAGCGACTTGTCCAGCTTGCTGAACTGGGGTGTCGAGAGGCCCTGGTAGTCATCCAGAACGGCGATCTTGAGCTGAGTGACTCGGACCATGGTTGCAAGGAGTCTAGACCCGGAAAGGCGCCTTATGGGGCTGCAGTCCAAGAGAAACGGGTTAGTTAATCAGAGAGGTAACAAGAGCTTCCAGTTAGAGGCAGGTTTGATTAGGAGCGTGGTTGAGCGAATCGTGTCGCTCGTCTTGACGTCAGCTCGAGATGGTGCTGCGAACATGATCCCAGACGGCGGAATGAGGGGAACGAACTGGATGAGAGGACCGAGCCGGTTCCGGATTCCCGAACCTCGGCGAACGGCGCAGTCCTCTGGCGGCCAGTGTCACATTTTCTTCCCGGCACTAGATCTTCCTCCTCCTCCGCTGTTGTTAGCGTCCTTGCGGCATCAACACTTTCTGGCTTATGAAAAGTGGTACCTCGGTCTCTGCCGGCATCAGACCTCGGTCGACGCGGCGGCCCATGTATTGAATTATCTAATCACGTCGACTCATAGCACTTGGACCGCGCTGTTATCTATCTTCGATGCTTACGTACTCTTTGTCATCCACTGGGTCATCCACTGGTCCCCCATGGGGGTCACTGGGGCTGTTGTGGCAGACCACTTCCTGCTATGTGCTCCGTGTCGGTTCCCCATCTCACTGGCCAAACTTTAGTGGTCATGGATAGCCCATGAAGCCCATTCGGACTCTGGAGTAGCGATGGAGATTGCCCGGAAGCGAGTGGGGTTGGCATTTAGACTAGTTTACCAACATAGCAGGCTGGTCCTGGCCTGACGGCGCCGCCCCAGCTCAAGTGCTGGAAGACGCGGTATAGGAACGTGGTTTTTTGTTTTTTGAGCTCTTTTTCGGGATAATTGCGAATGACGCCATCGCCCCTGCAACCCCATCTGAAAAATACCGTTTGCTAATTTACTTTGCCAGCTTCGCACGACGGACGACGGAAAGCGGTCAGTCAGTCAGTCCTTGGGGGCATGTCCCCTTTTGTATCCGAAGCCCAGTTGGTTGCTATTAGCATCAAACACTGCTATCTGCCCCCTCTAATCTCCTTTGCCCCTTTGCCTCCCGTCATTGGACCGGCGTGGGGGTAACTAAGGGTTAGGAAGCACAGATCTTGGATTCCCAGCCAAGCAAACGGAGGGAATATGACCATTGGCGCAAATAAAGTCAGTTGGTCGGTGCAGCTGACAAGATGTTCCCGGTCCTATTGATAAATGTCTTCTTGCCGGTGATAGGTTCGCCGCGCAGCAGACATATCCTCTTATCTCCTGACCCACAGTTTACGGACCCAGCATGCCCTCCTGGGCCGGGCCTGGCATGTTGGTGTTGTGTACGAATGGTCCTTTCGGATACCGAACACGAATGATTAGTCAAAACTTGTTAATGAGTGACCTAAATTGCCTACCTACTCGTAGAGAGTGCTCCAGGATTGCCCCTAGCCTTAGGCTTGAATGAGGAATAGCAAGCCCAGAATGTTCGGAGGTATCCGCCGCTCACAGATGTAACGTGGTGTTTGTCGATCACAAGCTTTCCCAACTATCCGTACTACGTTATTGTTTCCATGTCTCGGCCCAGTTCTCGGCCCAGTTCTCGGCGCTGCCGTGTACTCTTGGAGGCCGCTGCGCCAGCGCCCATTCCGTCGCGGCGTCGCCTTGACTCGGGGCCAGTACGCAGTAGCGGCCAGGAGCAAGACTTTCGACCACTGTCAAGCTCTTGCCTAAACTCTTGGACGCTACCTTCAGCATACGGAACCTAACAGGGAATTCATCCTGGCATCCTCACCCGTCCCGTCCGTCGGCGCCGGCTCCATCACTGTGCATGCGTCCGTCCCCGATGGGTACCTCCCCTCACACACCCTCTGTGGCGTGCCATTTGACCAAGGAGGGATCCATGGCCCAAACCACGGATGGGGGCGAGAGAATCTGATGAATTCGAGAGTTCATCAAACAGTGAGCGGCACTATTATCAATTCGCGGAAAGCATCCAACGGCATAATGTTTGTGACTAGGCTCACAGGAAGCGCCATTCAAGGCAAAGAAGCAACGCGACACATGCGTCTCTTGGAATCAACGCGCTGACAGCCAAGACAAAGTCAGGCCAGTAAAGATGGTTCTCGTACGTCGCTTCCCACCTTCTCTCTAGATAAGCCGGTAAGATGTGCCTTTCATTCCCTCACACACGTTCGACGATCTGTCAAGCCATTCATATCATGGGACAGTGGAATTGGCTTCCGTCAAATCGTCGCTTGCCTGGTCTGTGCCATCGCACGCACTGATGGGCGGCGGCAAAGAGCTGTTGGCACGCGACGTTGCGACAGCAGCATATCGGCTTTAGTTCCCCAGGGTCCCGTTAGGGCGAGGCGAAAATTCGCAGATATGCCTCGGCATCGCCATGGGCGAATTGCATGGCCAAGAACATAAGCAATGAACCAAGGCTTGGAACATGCTGGCAACCGAGCCTTGGCCCTCGGCGGAAACGAGACATACATCTAGGGGCACTTTTTGGAGAGACGATCCCATTTGGACATGAAGTCGTTGTCTGTACGGAGCACATGGTATAAGGTATCTGTCGCCGTCTGGCGCTAGACGGGATTCCACCTCTCCATCGCAGTCCCTTGAAACCCCGTACTTTAGTTGCGGGCAATGCCATTATCTCTCGGAGTCTGGAAGACGTTGCCCAAGAATCCGGGACCTCTTGACTAAGAGAAAACCCTGAAGCGTGTGCACCCACCACTCGGTGCTAAACCAAACCAGCACCGTCTTAGGCCGGGAACCCCCACATTCCCTCGACCCCTCGAACCTGCACAATTTCGGCGGTATTCAGTGGAGATGGAGTCAGATATGAATCGCTCACCCGATTGGTCTCACCATGCGAGCTGATCCAAAAGGTCCTTCGGATGGGTCCGTTCCAAGAACTGCACACAAAAATCCCCCGGGATCTATCTCCTAACCCGGGATGGTCCCCCTTTGCGGCCAACCAAGCAGGCGAAGGGCATACATGGGCGGCGCAACATTAAGCTTATGGGCCATGGCAACGGCTCTTATCAATAGGGAGGGTCGCTGGGAGGGGGGCGTTTGGTAAAGACACGGCAAAGAACTGCAACATTGGCCACCAGGCATGCGGCATGTTACTCTTTCTGTGCGTCTGCGGATACGGAGACGGATACCCGAGCACGAGGGCTCGAGGTGCTGAAGTGCGGCTGCGCATGGTACGATTCGATGGCAACCTGGGGAAGGGTCAGGGAAGAAGAGTGAAGGGCTGCGTTGCTGTCCAATTAGCAGGGAGTGTGTGGTATGGAAGGGCATCACCAGCACCAAACGTGTCAACTTGTCGCGGTAGCAGACGACATCGTGATGCAAGGATGCGGCAACCATCGGCTCGCAAGTCCGACCTTACTATTCGAGACGACTCATCCCTCAAGCCAAGGCCGCAGGCAACCATTCATCTTTCGTTACGAGCTGCCGCCGCAAATATCAATTTCCCACTCTTGCGCAGTCGCCGGACCTTGGCGAAGTGTATGTATCATGCCACAGCGATGATGTCGAGTTGCGCCTTCACACCGTCCACCAACATCCAATGGATTTGTCTGGTTCGGTAGCGGCAGGATGTTGCATGATCGGACATGGCCAGTCGCGTTCAGCGAGGCAAGCTAATCATCGGCAATCATTCCAAGGTGTGTGGCGCATCCGCGAAACAACGGCTTGGGGTAGCAGTCTCGGTTCGGTCATCACCAGCCAGCCAGCCAGCCCACTTTGATCCTTCACCCGTTGTTCTCGAAGCCGCGCCAGAAGCAGGTTACATACAGCAAGGACGCTAGGCAGCATGGCCAGGCTGATGCTCTTCCGCGAACCGAGGGACGCCAATACGGGTAGCCATCTTTGGGTTGCACCATTATCCGTACACCATCAAAGAAGCCAACGAGCGCGCACGCGAGCTTCTCGTACCAACACAGTTACAGAAGTCAAGTCCGGCAGACGCTCCAATAACAGCGCCGGAGCGAGCGCGGTGGCGTTAATGCCAAGGTCGCTCAACGTTACCGCCGAGGCCCTTGGTAGTAAGTATCGCTAAGCTCTCCTCGCCGCTGGGCCGATTTCCGCCATGGCCAGCAGGGCAGGGCACGGCAGGGCAGAGTCCCGCAAGCTGCTGATATGTAGCAGAGTATTACTGAGTTGCTGGCCTAGTTTGGCGATGTGGCCGGAATCTTCTACAGCGAGCCGCAAACCATAAATCCGTCAAACAGAGTGTGCATGTGTTTATCGCGCCCGTCCGTAATCCGTTACCAACTTCAGACACAGATTACAGTACTTGGTATGCAGCAACGTCGCCGCCTATTTGATAATGACTGTACCCCCCCGATCCTTCGACCTGCCTAATCGGGACATTTGTCCTGGAGTCCATCCGTCGCGGTCCATCAGGCCCATCGGGGGTCCATCGTCTCTCCCTGACTACTCCGTAGAGCTGGCCGTCATCCACAAAATGGCTTCTGTCTCGGTCCAGCCTGCTTTCGCTAGTTGGATCGTGCGTTGCCATGGCTAGGTAGGTAGAGATAGATCTCCTTCGACTTTCCCTGCATCCTACGTGCACCGCCCACCTCCAGCTTTGCTTCGACGGTGCCCCCCTGCGCCCACACCATGCCCGCCCGAACTCAGTGTCGTCTCCGACAGTGCTCATGCATATCAGTATCCAAATCGGATACTATGTACTATGTACTATATGTATCGTGTCGTGTGAGGCGTTTCTTCCCACTTGGCACCCGCTACACAGCTCAGGGGTAGCGTGAGCGAGAAGACCTACGATTAGGTATTAGTGCTTTTCGCCTCCCGTCCCGTGGCGATGGTTACGGTCAGCGCGAGATCAACTTCCACTCCCGGCGGCGCCCCCCGCGCGCACACCTGCACACGCATGGCACCAAGAGTGCTGAGGAACCTTGTTGTTGTGGTTGGAGCAAACCTTGACCCCTCCCCCCCCCCCCGTTGATCGATTGGCCCGTCCCAAGCCATCCCATGCTGCCTTTTCCTCTCCGTGTGTCCTTGACACGAGTCCATATCCATGACACACCCCTACCCCCTGGCCTTCTCTCCACTTCCAAGCGCTAGAGTACTCAGCCCATGTCCATCTGCGTATCTGCGGATACCAAACAGCTGCCGGATGCAGTTGCAATGGACCTGCCTCGCTGCTGGGAAATATAAAGCATCTGCCTCAACATGCTCTTCCGAGGGCTTCCCGTTCCCCCTTTTCTCTTGCGATCAGCAGCCTTTCCACCCAACGGCCAACAGCTCAGGTCCTCGTTCGACCCGTTTGTCAATTGCTGTCAAAGACTCGTTAACTCGTGTCTCCCAACCCCGCTCTCACTATGAGTAACGCCGGAGGTCTGCAGGACGATGTCCTGGCCAAGGCCCACGTTCCCGCGGCCGCCGCCCAGGGCACTGAAAAGGAGACTCGCGGCTCTTTCGACGTTACTGCTGCCGCCGCCCCTGCCGCTGACGACCAGTACTACGACTCCAAGTCCGACGACGAGTACCCGGACAAGCCTACGGAAGAGGAGCTCAACACCCTCCGCCGTGTCTCGGGCCCCATCCACTGGGGTATCTACACCATTGCCTTCGCTGAGCTTTGCGAGCGTTTCTCCTACTATGGCTCCTCCGTCCTCTACACCAACTTCGTCATGCGCCCCCTTCCGGAGGGCTCAAAGACTGGTGCTACCTACGGCCGCGACGTTCCTGCCGGTGCTCTGGGTATGGGCCAGAGAGCCTCCCAGGGTATTTCATTGGTGAACCAGTTCTGGGCTTACCTGATGCCCCTCTTCGGGTATGTTTCTACCTTTAGCCCCTGCAAAACATTCTGAATATGCAAACTGACTCTTTGTGTGTAGTGGTTGGCTGGCCGACTCAAAGCTTGGTCGCTACAAGGTCATTCACATCGCCATTGCTGTCTCGACCATTGCCCACGTCATTCTCGTCATTTCCGCCGCCCCTGGCGTCCTCGCCAAGGGCAAGGTCGCCTTTGCCCCCTTCTTCATCGGTCTCTTCACACTGTGCTGCGGCACCGGCCTCTTCAAGGCCAACATCTCTCCCCTGCTCGCTGAGCAGAACAGGGACACCCGTATGCGCGTCGAGGTTCAGAAGGGCGAGCGCGTCATCGTTGACCCCGCCGTCACCAACAGCCGTATCTTCCTTTGGTTCTACTTCGCCATCAACCTTGGTTCTGTCACTGGCCAGATTTCCATGGTCTTCGTCGAGAAGTACCATAGCTTCTGGCTGGCATTCCTCCTGCCCACCATCCTCTTCTTCATCTGCCCTGTCGTCCTCTTCCTGAACAAGAAGAAGTACCACCTCACTCCCCCCACCGGCTCCGTTCTCGAGAAATTCTTCAAGATGTCTGGATTCGCTGCCAAGCGCTCCGGTGGTATTACCAAGCTGAACTGGGACAACGCTAAGCCCAGCAAGGTCCCCGTTGCTGAGCGCCCCGGCTGGTTGACTTATGACGACGCCTGGGTTGACGAAGTTCGCCGTGGTCTGATGGCCTGCAAGGTCTTCCTGTTCCTGCCCGTGTTCTTCCTCGCCTACAACCAGATGACCAACAACCTGACCTCGCAGGCTGGTTCCATGGTTCTCGCTGGCGCCCCCAACGACGTTATCCAGAACTTGAACCCTCTGTCTATCATCATTATGATTCCCATCCTGGATCACTTGGTCTACCCGGGTTTCCGCAAGTTGGGCTTCAACTTCACCCCAATCAAGCGTATGACCACTGGTTTCTTCTTCGCCGCCGCCTCCATGATTGCTGCTGCCGTCATGCAGCACTACATCTACCAGAAGTCTCCCTGCGGCAAATACGCCACCCTCTGCGAGAATCCTGCCCCGATCAACGTTTGGGCTCAGTGTCTCCCCTACGTCCTCATTGGTCTTGCCGAGATCTTCACCAACGTCACCTCGTACGAGTACGCCTTCTCCAAGGCCCCTGAGAACATGAAGTCCCTCGTCATGTCCATCAACTTGTTCATGAGTGCTGTCTCTGCCGCTATCGGCCAGGCTTTCACTCCTCTCTCTGAGGACCCTCTCCTGGTCTGGAACTACAGTTCCGTTGCCATCATTTCCTTTGTTGGTGGCATTGCTTTCTGGTTCTGCTTCAACCACCTCGACGCTGAGGAGGATGAGCTTAACTTGCTCAAGAAGACCAAGTTCATTGGCTCCAACCAGCCCACTGCTGCTCAGGAAGACGCCAGCGCCACTCAGGTTTCTGAGAAGGTTTAAGTCTGTAGCAATACCATCATATCTTGCGCTCAACTCCTACACTAGTGGGTGTGATCCTAGTTAGCTATAATTATTTCCCGCGTCAAATGATTCCCCGGCCGATGGTCTTGCAGACCAGTTGCCAATCTCTTAGCTAGATGCGTGCACATAGCAATGCACATAATGAAATACATATTCCACAAGATCGCTCAGTCTTCAACTACGTGACTCAAGTCTATCTATTGAAGATCACTAGGGGTTTGCCCTCACAAGCTCAAAGACTGCCACTCAGACTTACCTATGAGAGGGCAGAATCTTTGTGCGGCAATGCCTGATTGAACCACACTTAAACTAATCAATGGTTTCCCTGAGGTTCTGGTTTCTTCAAAACTCAAGACATCCACCTGGACACCAGGGCTTTGCTTCTGTGTCAAATTACCATTGGTTGCGTGGACGGTGCGTTCACAACGTGTATTGTCCTCTTATCAGGTACTAGGAATGCTGCGAAATAAAATACAAAAAGCTTGCAGGGGAATAGGATTCCAGCGGTGCAGTGCGCGGCGTACTAGCAACCAACACCCTCTAAGAAAATGCAAGATTCTTCACCTATCCTGCCTTAAATAGCACCAGTCACTAATCAGAGCAAAAGGACTGATCAGGGCATCTTCGGGGACAGAGGTAAGTACTTGAAGGCTCCCAAAGTTCTTGTTATCACACGCAACAGTAGACCATAGAAGAATGGCTCTCTGTATGTGTTTGTAAAGGTAGAGGTTAAGTTACTTCTGAAACTTTCCATGCCGCCCTCTTGATTATAGCGAGATCCGTCTTTCCTTTTACCGCCTCTGATCCCTGACGTGAGCGGGCTGAATACAGGTAGGTATAAATGCCTTCCGACCGAAATCTTCATGTATTAACGACAGTAACTCTCGATTGGCCCAAAGCACAACGCTACGGCCAGTTTCATAAGTGCAGAATCAAGTAGCCTTCAATGGCCGTCTATCGCGTAATGCATTTTCATGGATGGATGTAATGCATACAGTTGAAAGAATATCTGATCAAAGCAACTATGCGTGGCATCATCAACAGGTCTCGAGTATGGCAAGGGTGTTACAAATGAAAGGCCTCTCATTTTATAGGTTTCCATCAAAAGTGATAGATTTGCCATTCCAGCCAGGCCTTCCTTCATTCTTCAATCTGTAGCTACGCCAAAATTTTATGTTGTAATATTGGCCCGAATGCGTGACGCCTTCTTTTCGTTACAGTTCCTCAAGTACCTTTACAGCTTTGTAGGAAATCGGTCATTCTGCTGTGCTATCCACGTAGAAATGAGATCCACCAACGTGGGCGACAAGGTGTCATAGGTCTCTAGCCCAAGTGATTTGAACTTGCGCCGTACTTCATCAATGCCCTTGGGGTGAAACCCTTGTTCAATTATAGATGACACAAAAGCCGCAAACTGAGGCTCCTGCCATCCCTTTTGATCCGACAACTCAACGTGGACGAAGTCCAAGCCTTTAAACGGGTGAGGCTTCTCAATACGGCCGTACAGATGAACTCCGCACTCCTTGCAGGCATTTCGGAGAATGACTGCCGAGTCGTCGATAATGTGGAGCTTCTCCTCGTTGGCTGTCACTTTGACCTGCTCCCTAGGAATAACGCCAACGACGGAGAAGAGGGAGCCAGCGGGCTTCCAGCATTTCGAGCATCCACAAGCGTGATTGTGGGCAACATTGCCTCCAAGCAAGACCTCCACTGGTCTGCTCCTACAATGGCATCGTAGTGTGCCGCCAGAGAAGTTGGGGTCTCCCTTGGTGATGCCGTTATCGATCAGTGGATGAAGAGTTGGAGCCATGGTGGATATGGATACGGTAGATTGAACAATTGAAAGTTCGGCCTCACAGACGGACAATGATTTGAGAACCTTGATAGTTTAAACCCATTTGTGTCCCAGTTAAGGAGCTGCGCTTTTATACTATTGTCACACTATGACTATTGGGTCCGCTCTCCTCTACCGACGCCGCTGGGCGACTTGACGATACGGTTCCCGAGTCACGGTTCCCGAGTCATCCCCGAACACACCGGGCCGGGATCGTACGCGATTCGACGACTTCCCCGCATCTCAATGCGGGATCCTGTCAGACAAATGTTAAATTGAGCACGAACGTGGGACAAACTTCCCCGTTTGGCTTACTCTTTGCGATATCAGATCTATTCGTTGCTGCCGCGCGGACTCCCGGCCATCGGGCGCCGATCCGATTTGATGGTGCTAACAATGAGGATACCCCACAGAAGTTTCTGTATGAACTTCGACCCCTTCAATGCCGAGCCAAAATGCGTACCCCGCTCGCCCGGCGAAATTAAGACCTAACCCCGTGGCCCGAATGACGGAGATATGTGTAAGAAAGGGGCGATGCGACATGATGCTGTCGGCGTTAGGCAACAAGGACAAGCGGTCTTGGTGGGTAGGAATGTAGGAAGGTCTAGGGGCTGTGTGATTGAGCCCTTGACCTCGTCAAAAGGTGTGATTCTGACAGGCTTGATCTGTTTTATGGAGTTTTCGAATACTCCAATGAGACCGAATGTGGACTTGAGCTTCTTGGGATGTGATAAGGGACGGCGATGATTCAACTTATTAGCTCATTCTGATAGTATTGAAGAGATCTTGTGTTAGGGAACTTAGGTGGTGTGCTAAGCCCGTCCATGGACCGTTCAGGCAAATACCCAAAGATCAACCAATGGAGGCACTCCGTGCCAGATTGCACCATACATACACTTGTTAAGGCAATATCCCACTTATTCCGTTACATCTCGAGTGCATCTACGCTTTTAGGCACACATAGTAGAGTTTGTCCATATGCTATCGATGCTCACGGTGCTTGAGACTAGTCTAGGTTTTGACACATCTTGGTCATCTATAAGCTCTATAGATGCTTGGCCTAGGTAATCTATTAAGTAACCCAAAATAACATAGTCAGCGTCACATTAGGAGATTTTTGTTAGCTATGTCTTCATTTTCAACACCCACAACCTCATTTCACTGGGAAATGGAAATCATTGTTATTATTCCTGCTTTACTCAACCATACATGCAGCAGTAGTTATCATAATCGATATCTACTCAAGCGATTGTGTTCCCAGTAACTGTTGGGGTTTTTAAATAACTCTTAAAATATAAGAGCTAACGGAGTGTATAACATTAGACCCCTGGGTACCTGTTAAGCATTAATTAAAAGCAAGATCCTGAGGGCGTAGACTTTGGCATCACAATACCATCATCGCCGCCAGGGTCGTTGCCGACGTTCCGGTGTCCAAAGGTCGTTCGCGTACACAGCCATGATTGAAGTGAAGTCAGACTCAGCAGTTGCTCGGCTCTATCGGTTATCATTGTATACCGTATTAAGAGATTGAGATGTGACACAGGTCAGAAGTGCTGCTTATCGGATTTTGCGTGCCGTGCTATTACATATGTACCGGGTGAGCTACACTAGAACGCTTTACAGGTTTAGAGCGACTATATTCATCCATAGCAGCATAAAAACTGGTCATAGTATTCTTTTCTAGTCCATTCTCTAGTAGATAGCTGAGTATTGTATCGTTCTTCAATCGTATTAAGGCTCTTAAAAACCTCCTTGGCTGCTTAACCCCTCCTTGGCTGCTTAACCCCTCCTTGGCTGCTTAACCCCGTCGCTTGCTCTCCTGTACTGGGTAAAGCTTATCGAATCTAGCTTTCAATTTGTAAATCGAACGAGAAGATTGTAGCTTTCCAACAAGTTTGAGACACAGATAGTGGACTGGGTGGTGACTTGGTGCACAAAGTTAAAACAGTCATGAATGTCATCTTGAATCCAAACCATGAATCGAACCCTGCGCCTTTGAAGTTACATTGTCAATCAATCTCCTTCACGATCACAAATTTTCCTGGCATTGCCCCAGGTGCTATATAAAGTACACTTGAATAGTTTCGATATCCTGCTAGGATGATACAAATCTCAGTAGCAAAGCAGCTGCATAAGGGGATGCAATGGCTGCTCATGGAGTCAATTTGAGAGCCCTCCGGTGGATTGTCTTGTGCCAGCCGAATGCAATCAAAAGATTGTTCCAACGCATGTGCATGGGTTCCAGGGAAGCGCATCAGTCAAGTTTGCATACGCATGTCTCACCAACGCACGCAAGCCTTACGTGTACAACTTGACTTCCAATGCGGCTGGGGGACATGGACGAAGAATTGCATGTGGCGCACTAGTGGTATGTGGCTACCGTATCCTCTCAGTAGATTCGTACACCGCACTGACCACGGGCTGCTGGATAGGGGCTAGCGGGCTGGCAGAACCAGGGATCTAGAAGTGGCAAATGCAGGGGTTAGTCAACGTGGGCAGCAAGTTAGGTGAAAAGGGTTAGGGTTAGGTGAGTGGATGAGTGGCTAAGCTGGCTGACCGCCTTCCAATATAGGCCTAGCTGATACTCTGTGCAATATGCGAATCTGCTGTGAGGATACGGTATTGGCTCACCACCATGCCAAGCGAATGCGACTTACCCTAACTAGTGAAAGCTTGCTGCTAGAACAATGAACTAGTGGAATTCCAGGTGAAAGTCCAACCGTGGTTGGCGAATGCGCACTTCTGTCAACCGAGGGAATGAACGTACTGTCTCGGCGTTAACAGGAGCTAGGTAGGTAGTTCGCACTCGCATGTTTGACAATGTAGATGCTAGCAAGAGGCCGAAGGCTGAAAGGTTCCTTAACCTTGTTGACGCACGCACGTCCTCAACACAACCTTGGCACGCTATTTGCCCCTGTGAAAAATCGTACTCAGGACCATTAAATTTCAGGTTCCAGCACAGCTTCTCCATCATCATCATTATCATCATCAGCCTGAACAGCAGCGACCCATACAAACGATGGCGGAAGAGCTCGACATTCTCGTTCTCGGTGCAGGCATCTCCGGTATCAATGCCGCATATCGTGTGCGAACTGAGCTGCCAGACAGCACTTTCGCGGTGCTGGAGGCGCGTGACGTGGTCGGTGGGACATGGTCTTACTGGAAATACCCTGGATTCCGCTCCGACTCCAACATGACAAACTTTGGCTTCGGGTGGCATCCCTGGCCTCACGACAAAAAGATCATCGAGGGCGGCCTCATTGCGGCCTACATTGAAGATGCGGTGAAGACGCATAACCTCGACCAGCATATCCGGCTTCAGCACAAGGTCTCAGCAGCGAGCTGGGACAGCGACGAAGCACGATGGACACTCGACTGCACAACGCCTCAAGGGAACAAGAAGTTCAAGGCCAAATACCTCTTCGTGTGCTCTGGGTACTACTCGTACGACAAGGCGCTTGATACCCACATTCCCGGTATTGAGAAATTCGAGGGCCAGACAATTCACCCCCAATGGTGGCCCGAAGACCTTGACTATACCGGAAAACGCGTCATCCTCATCGGGTCTGGCGCCACGACCATGACGCTATTCCCCAACATGGCCAAAACCGCCGGACACACCACGATTCTCCAGCGCAGTCCATCCTACGTCTTAGCCATCGCGCCCGAGTCGGCGACGGACAAGACAGCCAAAAGATTCCTCCCGCTGTCCTTGGCCAACTGGTTCATTCTGTTGAAGGACCTTCTGTTAGAGACGTTCTTCATCCAGGTTGTCTTGAACTTTCCCGCCATGGCCAAGAAGTTTCTCAGATCCGATGCCCAACGCCGGCTACCCAAGGATTACCCGGTCGACGTTCATTTCAAGCCCAAATACAACCCCTTTGAGCAACGTCTCAACATGTGCCCTGATGGAGATGTCTTCAAGACTCTTCATCAGCCCAACACCGAAATTATCACAGATCACATCGAGACTGTTACAAAGGATGGTATCCTCACAAAATCCGGGCGACACCTGCCTGCTGACATCATCGTCACTGCGACAGGCCTGCATGTTCAGCTCCTTGGCGGCACCGACGTGACAGTCGATGGTGTTCCAGTCAAGGTCGGCGAGAAGTACTGCTGGCGCGGATGCATGCTTGACGGAGTCCCCAATGCGGCAGCCATTATCGGCTACGTCACGCAAACCTGGACTCCCGGCGCTGACACCGTGTCGCGGCTGTTCATCCGTGTTATAAAGGAAATGAAGAAGACTGGCGCTGTTTCCGCTACGCCAATTTTGTCGGAGGAGGAGAAGAGAAGCTTGCCCAGATTACCTTGTGTCGATGCTTCGTCTAACTACTTCAAACGAGCGCATGGCCGGATGCCAGTCGTAACAAATCAGGGGCCTTGGTACGGGAGGAAGAATCTTATCGTGGACAAGTTGGCGCTCTGGTTCGGCAGCGTGACAGTGGGCATGGAATATCGCCTGCCAACCAAGTCGAAGAATATTTAACGACGACTATGATCAAACATCAGCGGTTGGCGTAGAATAATTGCAATGGCTCGGAAAGGTTGCCTTATCCAGTACATGTTGGCCCAATCACGTCTATCCTACTGACGGCGTCATCCTTATTATTGCGTCACCAGCTTGGTCGCCAACTCCACATGTACTGTCGGCACTTCCGCCGCAATTACAATGTTGTGCACAAGCATTGAGTCACCTTTCATAATAGCATTGACTGCAAAATACGCAAGACATCTGGTAATAAATTCTAAAATAAGCGATGACTTGCGGCCACGCTGATTACACGTAATCCTGGCCACGGAATGAAGCAGTTGGTGCAACAAGCATAGGTAAATCCCAGACGCAAATCGAAACGAGAGGGCCGGGTTGCGCTCTCATTGAGACGTATCAGGACGCTCCCTTGTTTCTCACAAGGGATCTTGGTGATCGGCCAATCCAAGCAGCACCCGGGATTTCCCAACGATGGGGCCTGTTCTCGAGAGATAGCTGGTAGTGGCTTGTGCAGCTCGCCCGCAGCAGTTCCCATCCTATCAGAACGCTCATAGATCCAAAGAGAGATCCAGAGGGAATGACCACTGCCTACAACACCAGTAGTAAAACGCCGTATCCAATTGATGAGCTGGGTCTGGCTTCAGCGACTGAATACGTGAAGTGAAGCCTTTAGGCTTGCTGCAGCTTTCCTGAATCATGCGAGGAGGAGATACCATCCACGCAGCCGCCGTCCGAGCACTGCCTGGAATACCAGACATGAGCCTCTTCGCACGGCACCTTAGACTCCTGACAAGTGTCGCTTCACCCGATCTTTCGTTTCCCTTCAACCCATGTATGCTCTGTGAAGGGGGGCACCATCCTACTGGCCGGTCTTCTTCACCTCGAACGAACTTAGCTCGGCTCCTATCTGCCGACCAAATCGTAACCCTTGTACAAGGCCTCCCGCGACGAGCAAGGCATGCGATTCGCCCGATATCTGAAACACGTCCACGATGCTCCCGACATCAAACGCCTCCTGATCGATAGCCTTTTGCTCAGGATCACTCTTGCATGCGACGCAAAGGCCGCGTATTACGACAAGAGAACAGAGCTTGCGCTGTCAAGAGGCGTCAGTGACGTGTCATTCGATTTCTAACCATCCGGTTCTGCAGCATCAGCGCGCATGGAGAGGCCCTTTGATAGGGTTCGAAATATCCATGGATATCTATATAGTTTTCCCCTCTATAATATCCACAGATATTATAGAGCAGTCCATACAGTTAATAGGTATATACTTTACAGATTTTTTACGTAAGTATTACCTATAGGTTGAGCAATTAAGTTTTAGTAGATATTTTTCAAGGGTAGGTTTAGATATTATAGTTATATAAGTTTATCTAAAGTTGTAGGCCTTTAATTTTAAGGAGCATTAGGAAATAACTTACTAATTTGACTTATGATATCTAAAGACACAAAGTATATATAACTATAGTAAATAATATATTATAGTAATTAATATTTCTTAGGAAAAGTGGAGATATTCTAGGTAGTATGCATCTAAAAGTGCTGTAATAAGATTAGTAAAGAGCTTTAACAGCTCTATAACAGTTTTTTTGTATATATTCTACCTATAATATCTCCACTTTTCTTAAGGTGTGTTACTTACTATAATACGTTGCTTACTATAGGCATACATTACTTATATATTCTCAAAAGTTATTATTTAAGGTAGTAGAAATTACTATAGTATTGTTTTTTAGGATTATTATATTAGTTTATATTAAAAGAGATAAATCTATAGAGCTACTCTTATCTTATCTAATAAATATAGGGATTTTTAGAATCTCTACTAATAGAAAAAAAAACCCATGGTCACTATGCATAAACAGATTTATAACCATGGATCTAAAAAAAACCCCAATCCATGTTTATGGATATCTATGGATCCCCACGGACTAGATATTTTTAACCCTACCCTTCGATCTCGCCGAAGGAGGTGGAATGCACCGGATCGCTTGTTCCCTTTTAGTCGCGGGAGTTAAAATACCCAAGCTTGCCCTTTCTCTGTTCACTTATTCTCTTTTCAACCAGCGACTTCGTTCTTTACAACACTCAGACTATTCCTGTATCAGCCTGCTCAACAACTTAAATTCTTCCATTCTAGAGCTGTTCTCCTTCGGATCAACCTCCAATTTAACTGTTTATTCAACCGATTCACTACCGTCAACATGCGTTTCACTCTTGCACTCACTACCGTGGTTGCCGTAGCCATGGCTGCGCCCCTCAAGAGTATCGTCGCCCGCAAGGACGAGCTCAACGCTGCTATCGCCGCTCTCGCCGAGGAGAGCCCCGCAGATGCCGATGTGGCGAAGAGCCTCCTGGACCGTGATCTTCAACTCACGCAGGATGAGGATGAGGAGGAGGCATTCAAGCGTGACATCGCTGCTATTGAGGCGGCGGAAGAGGCGGAAGATGAGGAGGATGAGGTCTCCAAGCGTGACATCGCTGCTACTGAGGCGGCGGAAGAGGCGGAAGATGAGGAGGATGAGGTCTCCAAGCGTGACATCGCTGCTACTGAGGCGGCGGAAGATGAGGAGGAGGATGAGGTCTTCAAGCGTGACATCGCTGCTATTGAGGCGGCGGAAGAGGCGGAAGATGAGGAGGATGAGGTCTTCAAGCGTGACATCGCTGCTATTGAGGCGGCGGAAGAGGCGGAAGATGAGGAGGATGAGGTCTCCAAGCGTGACATCGCTGCTATTGAGGCGGCGGAAGAGGCGGAAGATGAGGAGGATGAGGTCTTCAAGCGTGACATCGCTGCTATTGAGGCGGCGGAAGAGGCGGAAGATGAGGAGGAGGATGAGGTCTCCAAGCGTGACATCGCTGCTATTGAGGCGGCGGAAGAGGCGGAAGATGAGGAGGAGGATGAGGTCTCCAAGCGCGACACCGCCGGTACCGAGGCGGCTGATGATGACGAGGAGGAGGATGAGGAGTAAACGTTTGGCAAGTTCTTCCGAGACATTGCTAGACAATTTGGCAAGATCAAAATCATGGCATTCGGTGGTCTGTCAACAACTCACATTTGTGGGGACAATATAACCGGACGATCAAATTGTATATTTCTAGTACCTACGCCTATGGCGTATAATATTTCTAGTACCTTCGCCTATGGCGTATAATATTGCGTAGATAATGCTGTCATGTGCCACTTGGACACATACCTCTCAGGTGTAATACTTCAATAAAGGCTCCAAGGCAACATTCCCGGTCAGGGAGAGCATTTCTTTTTTCTTTGATGTAACAAGATAACCAAAGCTGGCGAAATATGCATGAGAGCCGCCTAAGGTGACCGAAATTGGATCATAACCAGCTTACAAGGAGCGACCTTACCCAGTTTCGTTGCAGAATCAAGCTTCAGTCTTGACTTGGTCCTCTCCGTCAGATATGCTGCTTCGTCAAACATGGAATATCCCCCGTAGTGGATCTTTCCAAAGAGGAAACCCAAAAAAGTGAAAGGTCATTCTACTTGTTTAACATACACGAAACAATCCGGGAGGTCAGGTTAAAGTGGAACACTTGCGTCAGACATTGAAGAGACATTGGGTCACGTCGATAATTTGCAGTAAGATTATGTTATTGAAGCAGGCCTTCGCTCACTGTCAATTATATCATACCCCATACCACAATATTTGACGGGGCATTGCTCACCCATGAACAATTGCCGTCCAACTATAGATCAACAGGATCCGCTCTAGTTGGCCGAGACCCGAAGTTCAAGGCTCGAACGATCCGAGAATGACGGCTCCGCTCGATGCTAAAGAAAGACCTTTTGATGCTTGGAGACAACTGTTCAAGAATGCGAACTGAAGCACGTCAAGGCAAACACTCTCTCATTCTTCGTCATAATTGAGGCTAACCGGCGCAATGAGGGGCTGTACAGCCGAGGTGATCTAACATTGAACTAGACATATGTCACAAGAACGTCGCTATGAAATACGGCGGGTATTTAACGCCTCGTATATCTTGTGGCAGCATAAATCAATATCAAAGTCCATGGCCAACTTAGTTCCTCCGCCTCCGCTAATGTCACCCTGGTGATTGAACATGGGTGACACGATGCATCGTCAGAGGCTTTCGATCAACTAAATCGACGATGCATGCATTAAGTTTAGACCCTGCGTGTCCCGCAGGGCCAATATGGATGAGAATTCTGCTCTAGCCCCACCCTCGCTTCACGATGCTCTCCACACATCATCAGACGTTCGGCACCTACCCACTGCCGGACCTTCAAGTTGCCTCTTATTCTCCCCGGAGTCATCAAGCAACATGGTCTGGTGGTGTAGTTGGTTATCACGTCAGTCTAACAATTCGAGCGCTTCGCCTCTCGTCTGGTTCACTGAAGGTCTCCGGTTCAAGTCCGGGCTAGATCACTCCATATGGGCGATTGGTTTAGTGGTATAATGACCGCTTAGCATGCGGTAGGTCCAGGGTTCGATTCCCTGATCGTCCATCCTTTTGCTGTTTGTGAAGTCTTTCGTTACTCAACGCGGCAAACGATCAAGCCACGAGGTTGACTGATGTGTTTTTTGCCACAACTCTGGACGGAGATAGCATATAAATTGATACGTAAAAGACTGCCTCCCAGTAGGTGTCTTTTATTGTGGTACACCAAGCTTCTTATGGCACGTTGCTGCTTTGACGCTGAGTGTGGCAGTCTCATTTGCATCTATTGTTATTGAGATTTGTTGCCTTCCAAGCATATCGAGGTCTAGTCGAAATGATTGAATCGAGTGGACTAGCAATTAGCCATCGAATGGGATATCTAAGGAAGATGGCCTCATATATAGGACGGTGTTATTTGAGGTTCTGACGGATGCAGAATACAGAGGAATATGAATCAGGCTAAGCGGCCGTTGCCCAAGAATTGCACCCCAGTCCCAGGGGCTTGGGGTCATGACCGCATGGGTCGCATGGGTGTTATTCTAGCGCAGTTCTCGATGCAAACTAACAAATAACAGGTCCAAGGTCGGGACGAACTAGTTGGCAGGGGGGAGGGGGTGTCACGGTAACATGAACAACAATAGGGCGCCGTAGGTGAGCAACTTGTGGAAGGATGGTGATGAGCTGGGTCCCAAAAGAGCGTATGAGGCGTCGAATGGGGGCAGGATGGAGTGACCGATGAGATGGTACAGCGTTTGTCGCCGGCTGCCACTCGACAGCCTGCATCGTCAACGTGCATATGAGACTCGGGCGACGGTGTGTGCCTGCTTGCCCAGCCAGCGTGAGGCCAATCTGTACTTGGGCTTCCGCTGATTAGTAGTGTCGGCGCTTACGTCCGGAGTTGGGCCCGCCTGGGCAGAAGCAAAGCAACAAAGACAAAGACATTGAGTCATGGAGGCCTAGACTTCCAAGGGATCGGAGGTGTGGTATTCGTCAATGCTACGGCGATTACGGTCGAGAGTCTCACTACCTTATACTGGCGGACCCAGCCCAGCCACCTTGGCCCATTCTGAAGCCTATTGACTGCATTAATCTTAACATGTCTTCGATCAGCTCCATGACCTGCTGCTCAGCCCGCTCGCCCGAAGACGCTACTCGGTTTACAGAACCGAGTCGGCATGAGGGAATCCCGAGGCGCCGTGTGCATCCCATCCTTCCCATCCTTCACCTAGCGTTGCGTCTTAGTGGGAGGCTTTAGCTCGATCCAGGCTTGCCCCCGGCTTGCTTACCCTCCTGATTCGACTTGGTCTCCCCAGGGGGCCACGTTCGGTTCTTCAGCGTCTGGTCATGGGCACTTGTCGGAACTTTAATGTCGCTTTCATCGATAAAGTGTTGCTGCTCCCACATGTTCCAATCTTTCGGTCCCTCCATACTCGGCGTTTACTGCTCAACAGTCCTCCGTTTTACAAAGTTCACGGGCCCGCGTTTGGTATTGTTGTCTTGCGTTCTCCCACACCGTACGCTCCGGACCTGAATTACATACTCCAATCGAGTCTCGCTACTGCACTGTGTTGTCATCTGTGCCTCTTCTTACCCACTCTTTACCAAACCGTCGGGTCAGCGAAAAGACATAGTGACAGAATTGGTCGGAAACCAACGCCGACCAACAACCCAACAGGGGGAGGGGTGCAACGGATCAATACATACGAAAGGGGATTTAAGTTCGAGGACAGAGAACACGGATGATTATTCCGATTTGGGATCGGTAGAATTGAACTGGCGAAAATCGAACGCGGAGACATTCCGGGACCGAAGGGAAAAGCGACATCTCGAAGCGAGCGGACGGGACGGCAAACGACCCAGACATGCACTATTGACAAAAACAGCTGCCTGCCACTTTCCCTGCGTTCCTCGTGTCACTGAACCGTGTACAGCGCTCCGGCACTTGTGATCCAAGCACGCGAGCGAGCGGCGCAGTCGGGACCAACAGCTGACTCGACAAGCTGCCGGGGCTGCCGGGAAGGGCCTGAGCGAGACGACAGGGAGCAAAGAAGGATTCGAAGAAATGGTGGGGGTGCGTTCCTTTACAGAGGGTATCAGCGAATCCAAATCCGCTTCTTGCTCGAATCTTTCGAGCTTGCTGCTGGTTAAGCTGGTCGGCTTGGTCGCCGTGATCGCGTTCTTCGTGTGGGAGTTTCGGTCGTGGTACCGATTGCGAAAAATCCCCGGGCCCTTTGTTGCCTCTGTCTCAGTCTTGTGGCAACTGAAGAAGGCCATCGGAGGCACATACCACGAGCATTTGAACGACGTTGCCAGGAAATATGGTGAGTTTGACCTTGATGTATCCCACAGCCTACGGGTTCACTTACTCAGTCAATACCAACACTCTGGGTCCATGAATACGCTATCTATCATGTGATTCTGTTGGCCTGCTTACTGAGAGAGAAGGACGCTGACCGTCGATCATCGCTCCAGGGCCCCTCGCACGCATCGGTCCAAATGAGCTGCTTTGCACAGACCCGGATTCGCTACGCAAAATATCGGCCGTCCGGTCGCCATATACCAAGGGCGACTTTTATGATTCCGGCCGCATCACCCCGGGCGTCGACAATGTCGTCTCGATGCGGGATGAGAGTGAACACAAAGCCATGAGGGCACGGATGGCTCCGGCCGTAAGTGATTTGATCCCAGCATGGCGCAGGGGTTCCTTCAGGCGCCGTTCGGAGTTTCGGTAGCTGATGAGTGACAAACAATATTTCAGTACGCTGCCAAAGAGAACGAAGGCTTCGGCTTCGAGACAGGCATCGACCGCCAGCTGATGAACTTCATCCGACTCATAGACCAGCACTACGTGTCCACGGACTCGGATTTTCGACCGCTGGACTTTGCTGAGAAGACGCAATTCTTTGCCCTCGACGCCATCGGCGACGTTTCCTTCGGCGGTGCTTTCGGGTTCCTCGCCAAGGACCGGGATTTGTTCCGGTACATCGAGATCAACGAGTCGTCTCTCCCTGTAATGAATGTCGTCTCGGTGCTTCCCTGGCTGGGCCGGCTCGTCCACAAA